TAGACAACACAAATTAATCTCACCCATCCAAAAGGAAAACATGTCAAGTACATAGCACATAGCACAACACTCATTCAGGCAAAAGTATAAACAAACTCATTCCGCTACTAAGAGCTCAGATCGCTACTAAGATCACAAATCACTACAAAGAGCACAGATCACTATGAAGAGCACAAATCACTACGAAGAGCACAGAGTTTGCTACCAAAAGCTACAGAGAGAGCCTGCATCAATGAACACAACATCCTTTTAACCAGCTAGGACGGCCTCCAATTAATCATCAAGCCCCGCCTTAAGGATGAATGACGTCCGACTCGGCCAATCACAGCAACCTATAAGCAGAGATAGGGTGATAGAGACAGAGAGAGGATAATGAGCATAACGACCAACACGTGATACACACCAATGTGCACAAAATAATAAAAACATAACACACACGCGTGGAACGTAACAAGGATGCAAAGCAGCCCCAGAGCATCACCGAGCCCCACCATGCTTAACTGTAGACAGTGTGTTCTTTTCAGCATATGATTCATTCTTCTCCCTCCAGACATATCACTGATCCATAGGGCTGAAAAGTTCCAGTTTTGTTCCATCGCACTACAAAACAGAATCCCAAAACTTCTGTGGCTTATTTATATAATTGAGTAAATTAGAGCCAACTTTTCTTGTGCTTTTGGGTCAGTAGTGGTGTAAGTCTTGGAGTTCTGGCATTCGTTTAGTAAGTGCCTACTGTGCAAGGCTGCAAGCTAAAACCTCAGTGCCTGTTGCCACCAAGTCTTGCACTTAAGGGTCTTTCTGAACCTCCCTTCTCAAAAATCTGGTTGCAGCCATTGATAGCTTCCTTTTTCTGCCCCGTTCAGGTAGTGTCACCACTGTTCATTTGCTTTTGAACTTGCGAACTATGCTTTCAACAGTCTCTCAAGGAACATTTAGACTTTTTGTATCCTGTTACTTGTTTGTGAAGGGTGATGATATCTTCTCTTAACTATTGGGACCATTCTTTTGACTTAGCCATATTTTTAACATACAGTCAAACGTGACACTCAAGAAACCTAGCCAGTTCAGATATTATGTGTTCTAGCTCAAGTACACCTGGTGCAACTATGAAGCCCTTGATTAGTTGCACGAGGTGTGCTTGAGACAACATCTGTTTTGCAGATTTATGCTGTTGTGAGGGATTCTATCCAGGGGGTTGAATAATTGAGACCGCAGAAGTCATTAAAAGTTGCATTTTCAGTTGAATTTGGGGAAACCACCTGAAACATTTGTTGTGTTGAGCGATTTTAATTATATTTAAATTTTTTATTTTTTCATTGCAAACAGCTGAAAAGTCTAAATTTTGCCAATAAACCTGATTTGCAATGGGGGTTGAATAATTTCGATTACAACAGTGTGTATGTGTGTATATATATACACACATATATTTACAAATGTTTATGCTAGATGCGATTAATCTCTGACAGCATATATATATATATATATATATATATATATATATGTATGTATGTGTGTATCTATATGGGAATGAAACCCTTGACTTTGCCATTGCTAGTGCATTTCTCTATTGTTTGTGTCATGAGGATAGCAGATGAACCCAAGCGCAGACGGTATGCAATCACACAACGTTTATTGATAACAGAAAACAGGGGAAAACAAAACCCACGAGGGGGCAACACGAACGAGGGAAGACTAAACTAGACTATAAACAGACAGCAGATACAAGATCGAAACCTATACAAGACTATTTACTAGACATTTACAAGACAGGGTACTCACAGGTAGTTCACAATGTATGCCACTGAACCGGCACAGGACAGCAAACACAAGGGGAAAAAATAGGGAGAACCTACTAATGACAACAGGTGATATTGATAAGGTAATAAGGACAAAACGAGGATAACAAGGGGGCGGGGCAAGGGAACAAGACAACAAGCACACAGCCCAAACACACAAAACATGGGTCTGTCATGATCCTGCCCCAAGACTTAACCCTCTGATGGTCTTCAAAAAAAAGTCACACTCGTGGTCTTCGGGGTCTATTGGACCCCAGACAACAACATTTAATTTTGTAACCGAACAATATATATATTTTTTAACAAATATAATTTTACTCTGTTTATTAATGTTTTTTACTCAACATTTGTGCAGTTTTTGGAGAATTTATGATTTTTTTTTTAAATTTCTATAAATAAATAAATATTTAATTAAATAGGATTTTTACAAAAAAACAGCATTTTATGTTAAATAAACTTTATAAAAGACCCATATTTCTAACTTTCATTCCTGGGGATACCATGGATAATTTTACAAGGTTTAATGTAAGATTTTTGCCCATTTTTTGGAAAATACAGGTTAAAACTTGTAATAAATCACTTTAACCACTAGATGGCTATAGAGCTCCATTATATGCTATTTGCTATTTGAATTACTGAAAGATATAGTTTCTAAAGTTGGATTCAGTTGGATTCATATCTAAATATTATAAAATCACAATTATAACAAAAATAAAATAATTTTTGTCAAAATTTAGCATTTTTTGTACTGAAAAAACACTATGCATGGTAAACCGCATGACTTCTGCAGACAGGGTTGGAGCAGGTTTGGCACTTCACTGTTGTTGTTGTTGTTGTGTGTGTGTGTGTACATTTTATTTTTATGTGTACAGTGTCACCAATTTATTTTTGTGGTGGTTCTTCATTCTGTATGATTTTATTTGACAAATTATAAGACTTTTTATAGCCTTACAAATGTATTCCTGTTTGTGTGTCTCTGTGTGTGTGTGTGTGTGTGTGTGTGTGTGTGTGTATGTGTGTGTGCGCACATTTTCAATGCGTCTAAGTGTTACCAATTTATTTTTCTGGTAGTTCTGCATTTTAGATTATTTTATTTTACAAATGATAAGAGAACAGTTTTTATAGTCTGTATGTATTCCTGTATAAATGTATTCCTCTTTATGTGTGTGTTTGTGTGTGTGTGTGCGCCTGTGGTGAGCATGATAATTTTGGATTGTGGATGTTTTTTGCATTGTTGGAAGTGTGCCACTTTATTTCTGTCATTTCTGTCTATGTGTTCTACGTTGTTTCTGATTTTGATGATGTTATTTTGTCTATTTTGATTGCGGGGTCCAATAGACCCCGAAGACCACGATTGTGACTATTTTTGTCACGCCAACATAAAAACAGATATCATTAATTTTTATTTTTATTTTTTTGTAGATCTGGAAAGTGTTGAGAGCCGTAGAAAGTTTCAAACCATTTGGACAAAGAGAACATTTTTTTTAATTTGAGCAAAAGTCATTTGGGGTCCAATAGACCCCGAAGACCATCAGAAAGACAAGGACTAGATGGCAGAATCATGACAGTTTGAGCTGCAGTATTAAAAAACAACAACTTTCTCTGTAATGATTTACATATGAGATATGAGTGTGGTTTGACAATGTTTGCCAATCTGAGGTTTATCTTACTGCAAGTGTTACAGAGGAAGTTATTTTGGCCACATGTGAGATAAGTGGTATTTGTGTAGCTCTCTGTCAGCTTCTCTTTACCTGAGCGGCTCTGTGTGTTTGAGTGAAGTTTTGAATTACATGCATGTTAGTTTTTGATTGGGATTACAAGTTTTCTGCCCCAGTATCCTGAGTTTGAAAAAAAACATTCATGCAGCAAAGAACATCTCAAAACTCACATCCAGCTTTCTTCTTTAGTTCTAAATTCCTTGCGCTGTGATGTTTATTTACATTCAGCGCTTAAGCCAAAGTCTTAAACTTTTATTTTCATATGATTAACTTAAAAACTGTAAACTTAAGAGCTGGACATTTTCACAAAATTTAGGAGTTAAACTTTGCTTCACTGTAAATTACTGTCCAGATCTCAAAACATTCACATCAGTTTATTTAAATGCAAATGCAGAGTTGTGGATCAGCGTGACTGGAAATGTGATTCAACTCAACTCTTTCTTTGTGTTGTTCTCTGCAAAGCCTTTGCGTTCCCATGGGTACAAGCAGCGAGGAACTACACACTGCTGAAGTTCCTCTTTTCAAATGGAGTTCCCTGATTGCAGTCGAGGGTCTGAGGAGGTATTTGGATAACTGGAACATTGACTCTCAATGCAAACCTATCCCGTATGCTATAATCGTGGACTCTTTCATTCGTTTTGTTATGGTTTGCGTTGGTTGGTTGGTTGAGCGAACTCTAGGTCTGATGTGACTGTGAGGTTAGTTTTTGTAACCATTTTCTAAGCTGTCTTTGCTTTATAGTGTGTAAACTGTGGCATGTGCCTGGGATTAGGACATTTCATTGAGGATTTTAGCAGCACCCTGATGTTTATATGCTCAAGAGAACTTCATGGCCTGAACCTCAAGCAGCACTGAAGTTTGCTGGGACGTTTTCAGTTTGTAGGTATGTGGCGTATACTTTTTCACACTCACATTTATAGCTGACAGAGAAAGCAATTATTGCTGTATTGGTGTGTTTTGAGTGGATTATGAGCTGCAGTATTTATCTTTCATTGCCTACAGAGGTTTAGGTTTGTAATTTACAACATATGCATTTTAATGTGCTTTTCTTACAGAAGGAAAATTAACTTTCACCTGAATTTTACCACTTGCAAGACATCAAAATATTATTGTCGTATTAGAAATCATTAGGAGGAAAGATTTTGAAAATATTTTTTAGCATTAAATTATTTTATAGTAGGTCTATTAATAATAATAAATGCGTTATTTGTGTGTTTGGGTATTGTATGCACAAATCAGTTGTATGCAAGGGCACAATTAAAGTATTTTATATAATTATATATAAAATTATTATAATATTAAACATTAAACAAAAATATATATACGGTAATATTTAACTAGATTATTTTTATGTCAATTGCAGGACACTATGAATAATATATTTTTTTAAAATAAATTTATTTAAAACATTTACTTTTAATCATTAAATTAATCAAAAGTGTTCAGTGTTGTTGATTTATGCATTTCTGTTTTTCTGCTAGCTGAAAGATGTTCCAGTTCATCCGGAAACAGATTCATAATCACCTCGTGGAGCGGAAAATTAGGAAAACACGTCTTGTTACGAAGGACGGCCACTGCAACATTAAATTTGGGACTGCTGAATATCACAACCATTTTGCTTTCCTTCTGGACTTCTGGACTACATTTGTTGAGATTCGCTGGTGTTTTGTAATCATTTTATTTGCAGCTGCCTTCACGGGAAGCTGGTTCATTTTTGGTTTGTTCTGGTATTTGCTTGCGAAAAGTAATGGAGACTTGGATGTTCTCCAGAACTCGTCTGAATCTCACCAGATGAAATGTATAGAGAACATTAACAGCCTCACGACCGCCTTCTTGTACTCTTTAGAGACCCAGACGACTATTGGCTATGGCGGTCGGGCTCTCACGGGTCACTGCCCGGGCACGGTCGCCCTGTTGATCATCCAGTCCCTCATGGGCGCCATCATAAACTGCTTTATGTGTGGACTCATTTTGGCAAAGATCTCTCTCCCGAAGAGAAGAGCAAAGACGGTAACCTTCAGCGAAACAGCAGTCATTTGTCTTTGGAAGGGGAATCTGTGCCTCCAGATACGAGTGGCCAACCTACGAAAAACTCTTCTTATTGGCAGCCACATTTATGGAAAGCTTCTGCAGACCACCATCAGTCCAGAGGGCGAGACCATCATACTGGATCAGGTGAATATTGACTTTTTGGTGGATGCTGGGAAGGACAATCTGTTCTTTGTTTGCCCGCTTACTCTGTACCACGTGATCGACAAATCCAGCCCGTTTTCCGAGATGGCTACGGACACTCTTCAGCAGCAGGACTTTGAGTTAGTGGTCTTCCTGGAGGGTACGGCTGAATCCACCAGCTTGTCCTGTCAAGTCCGAACGTCCTACCTTCCGCGTGAGATCAAGTGGGGTTACAGCTTCCTGCCTGTCATCTCTCGCACCAAGGATGGGAAATACCGTGTCGACCTGTCCAATTTTTCCAAAACTGAACCAGCTGTGACTCCGCACTGCGCTTGCTGTTTTCACAAGGAACATAACAAGGAGCTTATTCTCCAAAGACATGGACGTGAAGGCATCGATAACCTGGGATTTGATGTTATTGACCTTCAAGACTCTGTTGATGTAACTGAGAAGGGTGATTAAGGGTTTGCCTGATTGAGAGGCACACAAGTATGAAGTAAACATCCTGTGAAAGTTACAAGCCACAGAAAAAAAAGAGAGTGGAAGAGGACTCACCATAGACAGTTATGTCCCCTAACAAACTAGCTGTGTTCCAAAACCTAGACAGACTTTTAAGGTATTATATGCGTTTCTGATAATAATGTTGCTAAGATACCTTGTTTTGATTACATTGTTTCACTATATTAGTGACAACATTGCATAGACTTCCATTGATTTTATATAAGGTTAATGATCACCAGCATTTTTTTATTATTTTTTTTTAGGATTTTCTGTATACTGAAGCATTCCTCGCATTCCATTCATTCCTAAGGGGGTCGAATTTACCTGCGATTTGTAACTTTTTTTTATTTTATTACTCCCACATAAACTCTGTATTCTTGGTTCAAGTGCGACAAAAGTCCTAGGTCTTGGACCCCTCTGATGAATACTCAATTTTTTTATTTTAATTTCGAGTTTCGGGTCAAAATGTCCAGAGGGAAGGCTTTGATCAATTTAATGCATCCTTGCTAAATGAAAAGCATTACATCTTTTTCGATTAAATGTGTGTCTGTATGTAAGTGTGTGTGTGTTTCTGTGTATACATGTATATATATATATATATATATATATATATATATATATATTCATATTCAGCTTAGCAACATGTTAGCAGCAAACTGAGTCGCATTTGTATGATGCACAGACTTCCTGGCTAAAGCAGTTGACAGGGACGCCCTGAAAACAAACCAGTTACCATAGTACCATAAACCATTCAGTTTGAAGGGGAAAATTAAGACTAATGCTGCATATTTTAAGATGTGTGATTACACATGCATCTCATAACCTGTCACTGATTTTTTTTTTTTTTTTTTCACAACAGTCATTTTATTAATTTAGCTGAGAAAAAACATCGGTGTTGGATTTTTATTTATTTATTTTTTTGCTTCTTTTGAACTGCACAAAAATCTTTTGTATATTTGTCTTTAGTTTTCCCCTCACTAACCACACCCAGGGCCGTTCATAAGGGGGGATAAAGGGGAACGTTTTCTGGGGCCTAGCCGCAAGGGGGGGCCCATGCAGTCCAGCAATAATTATGTTCATCCTAAATATAAGCAAAGGTTACCATATTTTATTTTTAACCAAAATAGCACCATTTATTGTTGAAAGTGAGAAAAAAAATGCATTTTATTTAATGTTGCTTGAGTAAAATGTAGCCTGTGTCATAATGAAAACACCCCTCTCCTGAAAATGGTCTGAGTAGGCTATTTTTGTTGTACGTAAAGTCAAAACGCCAGCGCTTCGCGCCAGTTCGCGATCAGCAGCACAAGTGAGTGACACACGATGGAGTGCGCGAATTGACACGGTAAGACCATAGACAGTAAAAGAAAAAGTAAGACCTATTGCTCACCACCTCCCCAGTGTGATTGAAGCAATTGATTGCCTAAAATCGTACTGTAAATGATCTAATGAGGCCTTATCAGATGCGCGAGGACTGAGAGAATATTTCATGTCATTTACAGCAGTTGTCATGTGCACTGTCCGGCTAAAACTACTACAACATATCGAAGATAGGATGGAATTTGCTTCTGCAGAGTGGCAGCCTTAGATGTTGGACAGGTCACGGGAATGGGGTTGTTTCATGACAATTTATTTATTTTTGTTCTTCATTGGTTGTTGCGTTAAATCGTACCCAGTTACAATAGTGCTATTTTCTGATTGGCTTTTGTGTAGCTCGACTAACAACACAGAACGCGCTTGATTCCTGCCGGTCCAAAGTGAGAGCGGCGCGGCCAGAGACATTTGGGGCGCTGCGGCATATTACATATATTAAAAATCGTTTTTCCGCGTGAGAAATACAATGTGTGGCGGGAGTGCGTGACAAAAGACCGAAATGAGTGACTGTCACTCTCAATGCGTGACACTTGAGAGCCCTGTGTGTGTGTGTGTGTGTGTGTATAGACCCCATAACTGAGTAAGTCTCTCCTCTCTCAGTTAAATGTATGTGTTAATGTGAGAGAGAGAGAGAGAGAGAGAGAGAGAGAGAGAGAGAGAGAGAGAGAGAGAGAGAGAGAGAGAGAGAGAGAGAGAGAGAGAGAGAGAGAGAGAGAGAGAGAGCATGATATGAGTAGCATATTGCAGATTTGGGGAGGGCCCATTCACTGGACCTTTTCAGGGGCCCAGTCATTTCTGTGGTCGGGCCTGACCACACCCACAGTGTAAACCTTTCCTTTAGCTAGAATACTGCATTTGAAGGCAGATATTTTTGTAGACATCAAGGCAGCTCTCTAGGTTTTGGAACAGAGTCGGTATTTGCATATCTGTGTTAAATTTTACTACGTTTTTCATTCTGGTACATAAAGATCTAACTTCTAACAGAATCACTGGAGAACAATTAGTGAAACTCCATTAGAATACGTTTTTTAAGTGCTCTTTGATTGCAGACATTGACAAGAGACGCCTGCTGAGTGTTCAATGGAGGATTAGAGCTGAAGCCAAACATAAGAGTAGTGAGTGGAACCAAGTTCCCCCCTGCCTCAACATATGTTACTAAATTATTAATATGATAATGTTATTAATGTCAAAGCATTCAAATAATTCAGGACCAGAGAGAGTCCTTAATGTCAAAATGTCATGCACCTTCGAGAATAGATGCGATTTGAGAATGAATGTGATTTTTCTAATTGCATTGTAAGCATTTTGCTGTGAAGATTAAAATGGACTGACCTATAAAAATAAGCATTCTCTCTGAATTGAGCAGCTTTTAGAAGGTCATAACATTTTAGAGAGGGTGGAAAGGTTTGTTTCTGCTTGAATGTCATACATTTTTATCTCTATTCACTTATATGGGTGAGTAATTTCAACATTACATAAACAGTAAAATTTCCTTTAATTAAATGTTGAAGTGTTTTATCCATGTATTGTCAATGAATTTGCAGTCGCTTTGAAATTGGGATTTCAGGAGGGTCGTATTTCTGCCTTCTAGAGTTTTGAAAATCTGACCTACACTCTCCGGGTGACCTACCACCAGTAGTTTAAGTAATGTCTGACAAAATACACATGCTATAATTCTTTACATAAATATGCACATGACAAAAAATAGCATAACAAACCATCAGATAATAATACGTGCTAAAACATGGGTAACACATTTGGTCAGGATATGCTAGCACTGTATTCAAGGAGGAAAAAAACATTTTTTTTTTGCACTGCGTTTAACTCCAGGTTATCGTCGTTTTAAACCCCTCTTTTATCCCCGGGTAGATGAATGTTTCACACTTGTCATTTTGTAATTTAGTTTTTTTTTAATGATATCAGTTTTGTTTTTATTTATTTTCATTTTAAGTTTAGTGAATTTAACTACTTCTTTAAAAAGCATTATTTTGTTTTTAGATTGTAATGTTGCAATGTTAGAATGTAATGTGATTTGACCCCTTTTTTGGAAAGACTGCAAGGTTACATTCACTATGTTTGTTTTCATAGCCTTCAATATGAACATTGTTTGTAAGACAATATTGATCAGGATATGAATTTAAAATAAAAACAATTAAATACAGCTTTTTGTTTTTATTAAAAAAAAATGTAAATACTGAGATTATACCATTAGCTATTGCCATTTAGCCCAAAAATTACAATTTTTTGGGGCTATTGCCCAACCCTACCTTATGGCATGCTTTAAATGTGGAATTTTCCATTTTTAGCTAAGCAGTAATGATACATTATTGTCACTGTTAAATGGCTATTTAACAATTTGCCTATATTCAGTCCTGCATAAGCTAATTCAGTTTGTTTGCCCCCCCCCCCCCCCCCACCCCCCAATTTTTTTTGCACCAGCCGCCACTGAATTTAGTAGTGAGGTTCACACCACTTTTCCCAGACAAATTCATTCGTGCCTCAAATTTTTACAGTCAGAAACATCTTGTATTGTATAAACATTAATTTCAGCGTTTGAGGAGGGAAATTGTGACGGAAAACGCATCAGTTGGAAGTCAAGACGAGACCGTTTCAGTCCATTCAGGTAAAACTTGATATGTTAAACAATTAGCAAACTGGCAATATGAGGATGCGCAATGATAGAGCATTAAACACGTCACGTGCGGCATTCGTCCAATGACACTGCAAATCTATTCAAACAAGAATATTAACAGGGTTTAGGAATGTAGCTAAAGTGTGAGACGTCCATTTACGAATAAACTACTTAATTGTTAATCCCGGCTAAATTATGAGCAGTGTGAAATATGAAGCAAGAGGATCTCTTTTACCTGGGCTTTATGACCCAAGGTTTAACTATTTCAGATTTGTATTTATATGAAAGGTTGTTATTGATCATATTTCATATTGAGCATTAACTAAATTATCAAGGTTGTCTGCCAAATGTTGTGGTGTATAGCTAAATGTAACTAGCTTAACCTAGCCTGTTTGATTAGAATGTTTTTTTATTTATTAATTTCGTATTTCTTGTAATTGCATTCAGTGAGTTCATTTTTCTATCTGTACAAAAGCTTTATGTAGGCTAAAAAAAAAACCTTCCCAAAAAGAATTAGGCTATTAATCATAATGTGTTATCAATTATAGGAGAGACAGTTTTACAATCCAAGAAGTGGATCATAGAATCATCTATATTCAAATAATTTGTAAAATGCATCAAAAATCACTCTGTGATTAACAAAAGCTTACGACTCTTACACGTTTTGTTCATCGTGATAATCTTCACACATGAACACAACTTTTATGAATTTTGAAGTGTAAATACAATCGGCAGAAGTCAAAAGCTATAGAGTGGTGCAGGTATGACATCATTTTGTAGGCCAAAACGTAGAAGCGAGTTTAGCACGTCCGGTCCCCTCGTCCCGTTTTGAAAAAGGTGTTTGCTAACAAGTGCTAAATGGGACTACAGAGGCTGTCGAGGAGAGTAAACGTCATCACGCCAAAAAGGTAAACTCAGTCCGCCTTAACAGCATCGTTATGGATATGTGCTCTTACAAACTA